CAAATCATTTGCGCATCATACCAGGAGCTCTCACAAAAAAGTCTGACCATTGAGAAGTCGTCAAGGTCAAGGTCCCCTGAGATTCCATCGCTCAAGCTCGCTCGACATCACCTGAGATTCCATCGCTCAAGCTCGGGTCCAGCGACCTTGTTTGAAACTCACGACGTGATCAGCTCAAACATTGGCAAAGGCAGCTGCGTCCGTTTTACTGGGAGTGCGGAGCTCCGTATTCCCTCCATCTCTCGCGTGTATGGGAGAAATCCGAGCATTGCTATTTCAACGGCGCGTTGAATGAGATGAGTGCACGCTTATGCTGCTTTCGCGGTGTAGTTTCTGACTCGTAGGTTAGGACAAAATACCGCAGAATCGAAGAGGTGACAAGTAGCCCTATGACTTCGTTTCCTTCGCTACTCTGTCGACGTTCTTGAATGCTCCCAACAGCTCGCTTTCTCTTGTTCAGCTCTGGTGCTAAGTCGTTCCTCACGAAATGGAAGGGATAGGCAGTTAGGAGAAAGATTTGATGATGGTGGTTCCGTTGAGCCAGAATGGGGCTTTGGAAACTGATTCGTACTTCATGGCAGCGCCATTCTGCTGCAAACCAACTTTTCTACACGCGCAGTTACACAACAAAATGGAGGTGGTGCAGTTGCAGATCGTCTCTTCTTCCTATTCCTTATCGCCCTGATGTCTTACCAGTCCATTTAAGTCCATTTAACGCACGACGTTCTCGAGGCTAGAGCCGAGGATTTCGCTCGAGGTAGTAGCAATCGCAATTAAAATACTACTCACTTATTACTACTACTACTAAACAAGTTCTATTTTTCTTTTATTGGATTCCCAATCGCTTGATTCCACCCTGCTTCGGGGGCATTTTCAGAGAACATGTAGGGACACGTTTGCTTGGAATGCGCGTGCGAACAAATGCCTGATCACACGCGAAACGAAAGTGTACGTAATGAATTTGGATTAAAAGCACATTTTGTGCAGTTAAAAAGACTACGCCTACTCGAAATCGCTCGCATTGACAAGAGTGCGAAGTTTGTTAGAAGATTCCGCGAAACCTAATTAACAATAGAAGAGCATTTTTAACCTCAATGTTTTCCCTATCCCGAACTATGTGGAAGTTCCTAACAGATAAGATCTGATTCACGTTTTTCATCAGAACAAGTTTCAGAACACTGCCATGGCAAAGCAATCGTTCCTCTACGAGCTTCAGTTCATCCTCATGGTAAGTTCTTGATACCTGAATTGGATGGTTGACGTGATGTTTTCCTTCGGTACACCTGCACTGCACTGTGGCCTGTTTGTAACTTATCGAGGGAACTGTAATTCAAAGTAGGATAGAGTGGGGTGAATTGGACGGCTAACACAGCTGATGTGATGTTCTCCTTTTTCGCCTTTCCACCTATTCGTCTGTAGCGGTAAAAACAAATTTTTTTGGAAGGCTAGCGCTAGTCACCTATTTCAAGATGTCCAGGTGTCCGAGCTTTCACGGTCCTAAACGGGATGAACGAGACCCACCTTCCAAGTAAATGTTTATAAGCAGCGGACAGTAGGTTTGTAGGTATAGGTGAAACCCAACGACATCAGAAAGGTCTCTTAAGAATAGAGGGATGGCTTGTAGAAGGATCGATCTGAAGGACAGTGCGAAAGGTTGGACCAGTGCGGCACATTTCTTGGGAAGAAATTTGCAGCAATTCTCTTCAGTTTATGGTCGAAATGTTCCTTAAGTGGTGAATGCATGAGCACAAAGTGCAACAGTAATTGTTGAGGCCTTTCAAAACAGTGGAACTGAAATAGAAGAGACTGGAAGGTGAACGGTGCGCTATGCGCCTGCTCCAGAATAGTGAACCCTAGCCTACACTACATTTGTGGAAAGCGCTACTGACCAAAAAAGATCCCGAGTTTCCTGCCTCTTGCTGAAAGGATAGCTAAAGAGGCATCGGGTGGATCAAAGAAGACAACGAATATTTCCTCACATTAATTGAGGGACTTACCTAAACTCTTTCACGCGTTGACCATTGAACCTTGGGATCTCTGTGTCGCTTATGCTCTGCTCCCATTATCTTTCCATCACGTGGATACTCTTCTTTTCAGAGGGCCCTCGCTTCACACAAAGGCAATGGCACATCGACCCCTGGTCTTAGATTTTCTGATCTCTATACCGCCTTCGCACTTTACCCGTCCTAGACGGTCACGGGCTACGAATGTGGGGGCTTCGGAGTATGGTGAGCCACTTGATCACCACAGAATACCATAAGACCGAGAGAATGTAGAGAAAAACAGGAGATGGACCCATTGAGGAATTGAGTTCAAGTTGTCCGTAGACGTTCCTAGAAAAAAAGTTGCCCCTCTGAGACTCTTTGTAATAGTTTCCAGATTAGAAGCACAATTAGTGGAATGTACATTTGATCCAAAATCCACAGCAAGCATGAAGAATCTTTCCAGACTGTTGTGCTGGCATCAGCAAGCGGAATAAGTGTAGTGTTGAAGACTGCATGCTCTTTCATGGATTCGCATTTGTTAGCGAACTATTTGAGCAAACTACTGCATATACTCCTGCCCTATATTTATCTGTAAGTGAAGTATTTTGGTCTGTCTCCTCTGGTTGTTGTGCACCTTTTGAATAATCACCGTAATGAATATGCTGTTTAGAATTGCGATCGGATTCATCAATCGACGAATACGAATGCAAATTTTCGACAAACTCTGCCTTTGGACAAGGCATAGGCAACGGCGCGCATCAGTGATGGTCAGACCACTATGTACGCTAAATCAAACTGTAGACGGGACTTGTAAGAAACGGCGACCTTCTGAAGGATCATTTTGAACGATCCGATGCGGTATTCACAGAAACGAGAAATGTCTTGTAGAACACAACATTGCCTTGTTGTTTGAATACTTACTTAATATTAATTTATCCTCCGACTTGTGTGGCATCCCATATAAAAGTTACGAGTCAAGTCAAAAATGCTGAGTTATGAGCAAAGATCCGACCTCAGGATTTGGATCTGGCTCGTTGGGTAGTGACCTACCAACCACTACGCCTTCAAAGCCGTTCTCCACCCCTCTGGTCAAAGGAGACATACCACAGCCGCAATATAAGGGGCACTCAGATACAAATATGGATTGTTTGATTCGCAAGCTATCTTATTAGCACAGGAAAGGCAGGCAAAACCATCGAAAACACCCCGAATAGGCGACAGCATGGGATGACCGAAGTCAAGCCTCTGCAGACGGGTAATCAGAGATAAAACCAAAATAAGGCAGGAGACATGTTTCACGAAAAAAGTGAACGCAACTTGTGGATGTAGCACCGCTAGCATAGCTCAGCTTCCTACGGCTGCTCCAACTCCTCCTGGCGACGTTCCCTCGGCTAATGATAGCCGCAGCGCCCCAGTCACTCACTGGGGACTTGTACATAGTGGTAGTCCTTGAAGCTTGCTGGATGGGATTGCGGTCTTTAATTTTAAGCCTTTAATGGCTTTCGCTTTCATAACGTGGAGAGGGATAAACAGTACTAGCACAATGCACAGTTGGAGCATTCTGCAAATAAATCAGCAGATATTCATTTATTGTTTAAAGGCGATTCCCGCGACCGCACTTCATATGTAATACAGTTCAAAAATAGAATTGCCGTGTGCTTGTTGACTTACTGAAGAAGAGGAAAGCTCGAAAAACCGCCCGCAATAAGACCCTCTTTATTGCAATTGATCGTGATCACCGGACGAGCATAAGATGGTCAAGATCAGTTGTGATTTGCAAAAGGAGACGATACACTAACAAGAGACGAGGAGGCCAGAAAACGACGGGCGAGTGAGCGTAATGGCGTTGTCACTACGAGCACCGGAGCCTGGCATCAGCCTATGGGGCGCTAATGGGCCCAAAACCGATGCGCTCTGGTTGCTAGTTTTCGACTTTTGGATAGAGTACAGCCTGTGCGGATGCTTAGCTGTTCATCGTGCACATTTGAGAAGTTTTAGCCTTGATTTGTCGCTGGACCGTGCCTCTGTTAAGGTTTGAGCCGTTTAAATTCATATGATGCAGTTATGCAGCTCAGATAGTAACACCAAGGTAGCATGAATGACGCAGTGTGGAAAAAAAAGCAGGAAAAACCAGCCGGAAGTGTCTCATATAGAACCCCAAGCCGAACTGAGGTTGTGCGTGCATAGGGCAAAGTGAAGGCGTGGCCGTACGAGTTCCCACTTGTTGATATGAGCTGTTTCCTCCTTATCACCTCACTATCACCATTTGAAGTGGAGAGAGTGAGTAGCAGAACAACCGCACCATCAGGCAATCATTAGAAATGAACGGTGGGCAGTGCCAATGATGAGGGGTTAGGCCAATGAAAGGAAGGACCGTCTTGGGCCTCCCCACTCGTTTTTGCGTCACCAAAGTTCTGTAGTCGCTGCCTTTGCGTATTTGGCTACCCGCTCACGAAGGGCGAAGGAAACTCAACTGAACGCGGACACTGCCCTTAAACAGCTTTCGATCCCTGTACAACGTAGAAAGAAAGACATCTGAGTCCACTTAGTTTGAAGAGGGAAACGGTCTTCGAATACTTTTCAAAGTAGTTGTTCAATTGAAACCGTTTTTCATGATAAATAGCATTAAGCTAGTTACCTATATTCGACGAATCAACTCCGTTGCTTCTGGGATTGAGTTATGAGTACAGTTGCATTGACCTTAACGGACTGTTAGCCTATTATTTCTTGCAGTGTTTTCCCAGAATCTCAAGTTGTTCATCGAAATTCAGTTTTCCAGCCTATTATTTTCGCGTAGTACTTCGAATAAAGTTTTTGACATATTCGTTCATCGATCAAAAGAATGTTTGAACTAGGAACTGGCACTTAGGACTTCTCAAAATCGAAATTGTGTGTGGATCAACAATTGAACTGAATGCGAATGACTAACAATTTCCTCAATTTCAATTTTCTTTTCGAAGCGGAAATTGAGAACTTCGAGTAATGGAGACAGACTTTGGCATTCATTAATTCTCAAACCTTTTGAACCTATTCCGCATCTTTCCATCACCAGAGATATCTCCGATGTGTTTAGATTTAAAGCAAATGCGAAAGCTTATAGTCGAACGAAGACAACTTTTTCAGCCCGCAATCGTTTGCGTGCTGAGAAAGTTAAGTTCGTTCAGAAGTATGTGAAGTAGAGTATCTCCGCTTGCAAAATGCATTATGCTTTTTTTAGTCACACGCTAGTGCCTCAGACGAGTTTTTGTTCTGAGCTACTCAAAAAAACGCCCTCATCCATGAAATTGTTGCAAGACTCATTCGGGAATCTTAAAGGCAGCGCCCACGTTCATTTGATGTTCCCGCGCCTCTCTGGATATCATAGCCCTCCCTATGAGGATGCAGTATGTACTAGTTTTGCATCTCAAAAAGGCGAGAGGATAGCGCCGTTCGCTAGTGAAGAGTCGGCCGCCCCGCCCACCTGGCCAGCATAGGGTTCTATATAGGGCATTTTCCATGATTTTTTCTGCTTTTTTCTTCACTACTGGATCACGTATTATATGAGCTCCATAACTCATTATTCTTGAAAGCGGGCTAAGCCAAAGCAGTTATGGCAGCCAGGTGGGCGGGGCGGCATCCTCTTCACAAGCGGGTGGCGCCATCCTCTCGTATTTTTGAGCTGCGAAATTAGTACATCCTCCACCCTTGTCGACAAAGCTACGATATCTAAGGAGGGCGTAGGAACATCAAATGAACGCGGGCGCTGCCTTTAATATGCCTCCACGGTACACCTTCCCGTTCCCGATTGAATGAGCTAATGGTAGGCCTATTATCAATTCTTGCTCTCACGCTCTGTAATCGAATTTATGGTGCTCATACAGAAGAGATTTCAGCTCATCTGAGACCATGCACTCGATTCCTACGAGGTGGTTGAAACGTACTTCCAAGTAATGCTTGCTTGCGCAAACAAATGTAATATGATTCAGGAAGGTCTATTTCCCCTATCTCCCGTTGCTCTTTCTCGAGTACTTCGTGGCCCTTCACCATCCCTGGGATTCTCGCAAATCTCAGCCTGCATCTCGTCAGGAGAGTCTAATGTTTTTTTTTCTAATTCTGAGCCCTGACAAACAGAGCAGCTACACTGCCTGAATGGGAGTGAGCGGCATCAAGAGTTTTTCCCACTATCAACACTAATTCAATTTTATAGTAGTAGATCAATAGCTGGGCAACAAATAACCAGGCATTTTGGAAAATATTTCTCTTACTGCCTAGCAAACTCGTTTAGAAAAGTGTAACTTCGCCAGAGATAACTAAAAACACAGTTCAGTTAGATGAGGAAGGGGAAGAGCCTATAAACCATGATCCCGTCCTCACTAGTTCTCTCCTCCTCTTTGCGATACTAGGAGGTGCACACCGATTAGAAAAGAGCAGTGCTTGTGAGTCACAAGTGTGTTTCAAAGTGAAGATCGTATCGCAATTTGTGAGCACAAAGTGTTTTGCAGTGGAACTTGAGCCACTCTTTTTCCCAGCAGGCGAAAGTCAATTTGCTAGTGCTTTATCAGATTTTGTCTTTTTGCTTGCATGTATATTCTCTTAAATGTTTTCCTGAAAGGTCAATGAAATCCCCCGCACAGCTCTTACGCGAAATCTCTTATTACACGTTACATGACACGAGATTACTGGTATGATTAATGGGCGGAATGGGAACCGATAAGTAACTTAAGGAACGAAATGTACTGAGCCCGCCTCTTCTTGCTCATACCACAGTTCCCTTCCTACTGAGAATACATCAAGTGGTTCTTGACTGCAGTGCTTCGCTTTATACAATATTATCTTCTTCCAATGGAAAACGATTTGCTTTCGAGCCGCCATTCACACTTTATAAATGACTCGGACGAAGAATCAGATGGAGGCCTTATTTTTGTCTTTATAATCGACACAACGGTAAGTAAGTGCTGTGAATATTATAGTTGCTCACATTTCCACCAACTAACACTTCATTGATAACAAGGGAGCGTGTCAAGCTCGATTAAAGGCACTTTCCGCGATAAAATAAGGCTATGACCTTTCAAATGTGTCAGACGATCCGGAAGGAGATTGCGGAGGCTGCGCTACCTTTAGAAAGTGAAAATCGGCAAGAATTCCGCTTTAAGCTAACCAATTAGGCCCATGGGCGCCCCTTAGGCCCATGCCGACCCCACCGGCTGCTAGCTACTAGCTAGTAGCCACTATGCTATCTCTCTCCATTCCGAATGGTGAGAGTGAGGTGATACGATAAAAGAGCTGATATCTTTATGATAACGACGAGTGGAAATTCGTACAAACATGCGTTTTCTTCATTGCATGCATGTACAAGTTGGGGTCGATATGGAATCCTATTTAGGGCATTTTCGGCTGTTTTTCTGCTGCTTTTCTCCGCTAATCAGATACCTAGCCCTTTTTCGTTCCTATGTGGGTTCCGTTACCCACAATCTGTGGTCGCGGGCTTTGCCTTTAAGGCCAGTTGGGCGCTGTTTGTCGACGGGGGGGCATTTTGTATTATCATTGCTTCCCTAGTTCCGGTTTACAAATCTCACTCTGGTAAAACTTGTGAACTCTTGTGAAGCTGAAGTAAGATCGTCTAGCCACTATCCTAAAACGTGTCAACTCGAGAAACGGCTACCTAGATGGGTCGACACATCTATGGAAAGCAAAATGCCCCCCCCCGTCGACAAACTGCGCCGAAAATCAGTTATTAGCAATTAGCTC